TGTCACAGTCACATTCACAACTTACAGGACATACGCACAAACCGTACTAGACTCACATGTATAGCTCATGAAATACTAAACATATCATTGTTATCATATGATGAAAGATATCTGTAATGTTGAAACAAACAGTTACAGTGGGATTTGAAGATATAGTAATGGTAATAGTTTGCTGAGGGAACCCTCATTAAAACATTTTTTTACAATAATTTAGGGAAATGTGAAGTTTACAGTAGTTTAACTTTTTGATTAGCAGCACTAGCAGGGCTGTCAGCTCACGAGGGATATTGTAGCTAACCTGTAAATGAAGTCTGTGATGATGGTGTGAGTATGGCAGCCCCTGGTGCAGCAGATGGCACAGAGTACAATGCATGACAATTTTTTCCGCTACCCTTGCTCATCGCCACTCATGATTAAAAATGCTGCAACACTCTTACAAGCATGTAAAGCTGGCAACAGGCTCCCTTTCAAAGAGTGCTGACGGCAGTTTAGTGGGGCGGCTTCCTTGAAAGGCAAGAGTCACCGTGCCTTGCCATGTGGCCTTCTGATTTTCCCAGCTAAAATAGGGCCCGCCTAAGCCCCCCTTGGCATTGCCAACCATCCCAGACATCCTGACACTTTCCCCAGGGAGAGACACCCAGAACAGGTGAGGGACTCAAAATAAGGGCCCCTACTACTGCTGGCCATACAAAGTGAGTGAAGACAGGCCCTTTTGTAGGAGTATGCTTGAAAGGGGATTATTATTGTTTTTGGAGAGAAAGAAGAGCCCTAGGTCAGCTGGCCCCAGCCCCCACCCCAAGGTCTGTGCTAATCCATGCACAAATGCCAGCCGCCTTGGCCAAAAGCCCTCTCCCCCAGCACACTGCTTTGAAGAGATGATACCCGAGCTCACCCGCTGCTACCCTTGCTGCACCGTCTAGTGGGCCATAAAACAGTGAGATGACTTTAGATGAGATAGTGCTCAACTCTATTCACACATTTACAACACACCTACCTACTGTTCCCTCTGGAGGAAGCACAACAGATCAGCCAGCGTCAGCTCCAGGGGCCACCAAAGGCACATACGCACCTCACAAAGACACATAAAAAATTCTAGCCCATAGTGCCCAACAGCATGAGCGAAGGAATCTGTCTAGCCACTCTTAATCACTCTCTCTTGCTCTCTGCCTGCGTCTGGCCCTGTTGGACAGTAAAATGAGACAGGTTAGTGCCAAACTTTAATTCCTGTCAGCATCTGTTAATTATGGCCAGGACAGTTCTAATTAAAAGAGGCACCCATCTACCATCCTCGCTGGCTTTACACTGGCTGACACAGCCGCATGAGTCAACTGGCAGAGAGGATCGCGGAGAGTAGAAGCGCAGCCACCTGGCAGCGGCCGAGATCACTGGGAGAGCTGGAAGAAACTGCAGAAAGCAGTGACATCAGGTTTGACAATGAGAGGAATTTTCCATTACTACAGTCTCAGCTGACTTGGAAGATGTTTAAGCACGTAAAGCCAGGCAGCAAGTGGATGGTGTTTGAAGACTATTCTCAAGACACTCACTGAAAAAAAAACTATTTCTTCATAAGATACACATAAGGATGAAATTATCCTTATGTGTGTGTGTGTGTGTGTGCGTGTGTGTAAAGTACAGGTGGCTGCCATAAGACGATTCCCTGGTTCTAGCTGGGAAGGATGAGGCTCTGTTGGGAACTGGGGGTAATTAGGTTAGTGGGTTGTCAGTGTCAGGAAATTGAAAGACAATCCTAATCAGATTTGCGTTTCTAGGGAATCAAATAATTTATATAAGTAGACGAAATCTCTATTCTACAGTTACATGATAATACAGTTTACTGGACCGTCCACCCTGTTCTCCACCCACCCTTGCACTCATTTTTTTGGAGAGTGGGTCTGTGTCCATGTAAGATAACTAGTGAAAATCAAGATGATGTTTTGCATAAATCCGCTGTAGAATTCCTCTTTGTTAAATGAAGGCCACTGCGTCTGTCTTACAGTACATCATCTGATCTTCCTATCCCCATGTTCACTGAGTGACCTCCAATCACCATGCATGGGACACATCCAAACTTATCCTCTCCAAGAGCACTTGCAAATTGTATTAGGCTCATTTGCAGTGGCCACACAATGCTCAGGTTTGACACCATCCTCCTTGTTATAAAGTGATGAAATCATCAAGGAAGTGCTCTGGCTGTGGGTGTTGTTTGCTCAGAGGACACAGGAGGTTGACAAATTAACTCCTCCTCCACCACAAGCATTTCATTGAGCCTCTTCTCCTCCACCCTTTAGTATTAAATTTGTTTTGGTGGGGGGTACATTATTCATATAAGGTAAATTGAAGGGATTCTCCTGTCTTCGCAGGATTAAAGGTATCAGGGACATTTAGGCTGTACGATAGCAATGACATGCTGGTCCAAATATGGGATGTGGGATATAAATGTTTGCATACAATTACATTAAATAACCAAATACCTGCCCGGTGGTATCCAATAAATAGACTGTGGTAGATGAAATATTTTAACTATGTTAAAAATTAATAGAAGAGAAAACACATCCAAATGGAAACATTCTTATCAAATAATGAGATAATAAATAACTTATGTTATGATGAGGCAGGCTTGACATTTACAGTATCAGTGTAGAACCTGCCCCCCCAGGTGTGGCTGGGGGTGATAAGGCCTTAGTGCTACTCCAGTGAAAGAGGGGTGAAATAAGGGTCTTTTATGGGAAAGCAATACCTTGTTATCTATTTGCTGTATGACAGCTGATGTTTTGTACAGTGTGTGTGTGGGACTATGTCTTTGCTTGTAGACTGGTTACGTTTTTTTTTTTCTGGTTACTGAAGAGCACACACCTAAACTCCCTCACACACATACACACACAAGCAAAGAAGCATGTGGCCGGCGGCTAATTAGTATGCAGTCTGCCTCACCCCAAAAGATAAATAATTAGAGGGCCAGTCTGTGAGATCGTTGACCCTGCGTTAAATATTCATATGTTTAGACCTGCTCTGGGCTCAGCTGTGTCACAGTAGACCAGCCAGGCATGGACCACATATGGGAAGGCAGCCACACCTCTGACACACACACACACACACACTGGAATACATGCTCTCACACACAGAAACAGACGCACACGCTTATGTCCCTATACACTCCTTTTGCAGTGCTTACACAAGACCAGCACAGTTACTCACACTACGGCTTTTCCACATGAGCCAATACAGAATATAGAGTTTCACTTCTGATCGTCCTTCTGTATATTGTGCTGGTTTAATAGATGGAGGATTTCTTTTGCATATTTTTGTGTCTGTACTACTCTATCAGTTTTTATCTAAAGTTATTAATCCACTATTTCTCCATCTTCTTATTTACTTCATATCCCTTCAAATCTAGTAGAAAAAATGCACCCTCTTCATTTGTTCTTCTCTTGTTGTTTCTACCACAGGGGTTCGTCTTGACCGCGTGCGAGGGGGTAGACAGAAGTACAAGCGGAGGCTGGACACAGAAAACAATCCATACCTGGGTCTGACGCTGCCGCCTCCCACCAAAAAGCCTCGTGAGTACTGCTTCACCACTGTCTCACTCCTTTGTTGGCTTCTTATGCCAAGCCAGGGAAAGCTAAGAAAAAACTCTAGGTCAGACTTATGGTCCCCTGTCTCTTCCATGTTTGGACAGTTAAGGGTCCAGTGGTCAGAAATTGAGGCAAGGTGTTGGTCGGGCCAGAGCTGAATTATGAAGAATCTCTGAGCCTATGGCTCAAGGTGTCTTACATTTTTACACAAACATTTTTTCTCACTTGCATACATAAGGATAAGAGCTTTCACTGTCTACATATGACTTGTAAAATTCAAGCTCCAAACATTAGTTTGCATAATAAAAATAAGAAACAGTGCATATGTGCGCACCATTGTGCTGTGTATAGAAAATTTCAGTGCATGTTTATGTTTCACTGAGTTTTGCAGTGATATAACCTTTGACTTTGGCTTTGCTTTGACATCCCCCTCCTCCCTCCTCTATCCTCAGTCACAAAGATAGTGTCTCACCTGTTGGTGGCAGAGCCAGAGAAGATCTATGCCATGCCTGATCCCACCATGCCGGAGAGCGACATCAAGGCTCTGACCACACTGTGTGACCTGGCTGACCGTGAGCTCGTGGTCATCATCGGCTGGGCCAAACACATCCCAGGTATTAAACTATTATTAAACTCTCTCTCTTCTTCTTTGCTCTTTCTTCTCTGTCTCTCTCTGTCTGTCTTTCCCTGTCTTCTGTCTCATACACACTCTGAATAACCATGCACGCACACACAGGTAGATAATTAATGACAGCAGTTCCTACAGCCTCAGGATGTGTGGAAGATGGAGGTTGTGCAGAATGGACTGGATATAGCTGTGCAAGAAACAAATCAATAGAGTGCATCTAAAATCCCAGCACTGAATGGAGACCAGGTGCCAATTTATGCTTTAATCACCAGCGAGATTTAGAGTTGGGGACCTGCTCAGTCAAACAAGACATCATATCACACACACATATATGCACACATGAACACACACAAGCACACACACACAATGAATTATTGATGGGCATAATCATGTTTCTTCCCTGCCCCATAGACATTCTGATAGACGAGGTTATAAGAGGCTGTTGAATTAAGGATCTAGCACCTCACGTCAGCAGAGATTTTGCTTCCTTCAAGAGTTTTCATCTGATTTTGACAGAGAACACATTGTTTAGCCACTCTTTTTTTCTGCAACCAAGGCAGATTCTCCTTGATCTTGAGCTTGACCCCCATAACTCTATAACATTACAGTGCTGTAGGCACGGAGGGGGGTAACAAACTAAATGAATGTGTCCCTCAGTGGCACCTACATAACCTCTTCTTCTCATCATCATAAGCTGGACAGGCACACAGCTGTCAGCGTGCAGGAAATGTGCGACATCACTATAGCACTGCTGCACACCTACTTTGTCTGCCTTGCTCTCTCTCTCATGTACACATATACAGTTGTGTTTGTGCATTATATTGCTTCATTTAGAAGATGCATTTCAGTCCCAATTCATAGATTTGGAGTTACTATATTTTCAGTAAGATGGACTCCGGCTGACCTCATGCAGGTGCATTTTGTTCTGAAAAGGTATTAGAGTGTTCCTCAGAAGGAGAGGTATTAATCAGATACAGATCTGATAGTAAGGAGATTAGAGACGGATATACTTCCAGCCCCCGGCCTCGGCCTCGGTCCCAGCCCCGTACACGTCTAAACTGTTTGGATCACTTGCCACGGGCTCTGCATGGTCAGCAGGCTGAGAGTTTAACCAAGGAGCTTACCCAGGGCTGGATCACAACTGACCCAATAACACACTCTCATCATTGTGACCCAAAATTACAGGAGTATCACAAAAATTACAACATCCCAGTGCTAGTTGCTGAGCACAGACTGAAGAATGGAGGCCTGA